GACCAAAATCATTTTCAATCAGTTTTTAAATGTCCCAGTTTGTGGCAGTTCATAGAAATTTTATTTTAAGCTTTTAAGTTATGGGGTATCCATTGTTGTTGTTGTTGTTAAGAGCCGTTGAGTCGGTTCCGACCCATAGCGACCCTGTACAGGGTTTCCGAGGCTGTAAATCTTTACATTAGTAAGATCTATTGGTATTTTAGGAGTCCTGGTGTGGTGCTGTGAGTTAATGTGCCAAACTGCAAAGCCATTTGAACTGGAAGTTTGGCAGTTCAAGCTCAACAGCTGTTCCTCAGAAAACCCTATGCATGTCGCTATGGGTCAGAACTGACTCAATGGCACTTAACAACAAGAACAACTGGTATTTTGGAGTCCTAAGGTGGCACTGTGGAATAAGCTCTGGAGTGTTAACTCCAAGGTCAGTGGTTCAAATCCATCAGTTACTCCTCAGAACTCCTATACAGGTACATAATTAGTGGGAACTGACTCGATGGCACTTAACAACAGCAACAAAAACAACATGGATGTTTTGTTTTTGGAAATTGAAACAAGGAAATGCTTGTGAGTCTAAAGCAAAGACATTAAAATAGTTGCTACATCACAAAACTTAAGGTTTGGGTTGCTTGTGGTGGTGTGCCATGGAGTCAGTTCTGACTCACTGCAATCCTGTATAGGGTTACTGAGGCTGTCAATCTTTGCAGGAGCAGAAAGCCTTATCTTTCTCCCATGGAATGGCTGGTAGTTTTGAACTGCTGACTTTCAGGTTAGCAGCCTGACTCGTAATGACTATGCTACCTGAGATCCTGAGGTGTTAGCTATTATGTCTAAAAATGACAATATGTGGAGAATTCTGCTGAGCCATGAGGAAAAAAAGCAGAAAATTGGATCATGACACATCAGCTCTTTTACCTCTTCATTTCTTCCATTTTAGCATATCTACTCTAGAGAACAAGCTGAATATAAAATTTCAAAAGGCAACTAGAGAAGACAGTCCAGTATTATAACAAAATGTGTAAAACATGGAGTTTGAAAACCAAAAGAGAAGAACATGTTCAGCATTTCTCAATCTGAGGGAACTGAAGGAAAAACTCAAGCTTCAACTTGCAATACTGAAAGATTCTAAGGAGCTCTGGTAGCGTAGTGATTACAAATCAGGCTGCTAACCTCAAGGTCTGCGGTTTGAAACTACCAGCTGTTCTGCAGGAGAAAGATGAAGCCTTCTGTTCCCATAAAGATTTGAAGCCTCAGAAACCCTGTGCAGGGTCACTGTGAGTTGGAACCGACTCCATAGTACTTAACAACAACAATATGGGCAAAATATTGAATGATTCAGAAATCACCAAAAGAAGATGGAAGGAATGCACAGAGTCACTATTCCAGAAAGAAATGATCAATGTTCAACCATATCAGGAGGTAGGTAGTATATGGTGAAGAACCAATGATGCTGAAAGAAGTTCAATGTGCGTTGAAGACATTGGCAAAGAACAAGGCTCCTGGAATTGAGGGAATACAAATTGAAATCTTTCAAGAAACTGGTGCTGAATGGAAAGAACATCAAGAAATCTCTTTAAGTAGAACAAGCAGGGTTGAGAACAGTGACTATCTTCTATGTTTAAAAAGGCATACGTACATGTACAAATACATACATAATGGTCATATGTATATGGTTACAGCACATACACATATATATTTATATAAAAAAGTAAATTAATTATGTTCATAGATTTGTTTCTTGTACAAAACTTCATGGGGATATAGCAGAAATCATCAATCTAGGCAGTGAAACTTGGGCTCTGGATCTGGAAGAAAGCTTACCTTGCATTGTTTTCCATTTTTAACCACGTGCCTATGTTATGATGATACATTTTAAAAAAGAGTTGATTCTCCCAGAAGATATTCCCTAGTTTCCTCCATATTTTAACTAATATATCATCTTCTATATTTTCTGTCTTAATATTTTCTCCATACAGACTCAGAGATTAATAAAATGATGAGTCAATTTAATAAATATCTAAAACCCATGGACAGACCTTTAAGGTGAGGAAATAGCTTTCAAAAACTTAAGTTTATCATGAGTCCAATCCAGAACATTCTGAGGTGGTACTTTATAGCCAGAAAAGACAAGGAGACCAGCCTGGAACAGCTAGAGCGATAGAAGATACACCTTCAAAGAAAGATCATCAGGAAAAGCCCAGAACAAAAATGGCAGTATGATTGGCTAATACAAGAATAAGCCAAATTGTTTGCCGGGAAGCCATCAAGGCAAGCAATCAAGTTCCTTCAGGATAAACCCCCCCTCTAAGACTGAAACTCTAAGGGAACACATAAGCAGGCATGTAAGCTTGTTGGCAACCACATTGGTCTACTGGTTAGTGGAATAGGGGGAAAGACAGCAATGAAGAAATGGTCTCAGTTCAACCATATTCCATAGACTTCTGTTGACATGGAGATGAGAGAGAGAAGAGGAGGGGCTTGTTGATCCAAAGTGTGGTAAGACCTGGGGACACCTGAGCCATAGACAAAGACATAGCCACAGAGGCCTTAGAGTGAAGCATCCAGCAGATATGAAGTGAGGGAAGACTCACAAAAACACACAAACTTGCAGATAGTACCCATTTGACATAGCCTCAATGGCGTTATAATCAGAACTCGATGAGAGGACAATAAAAACAAAACAAAACAAAACAAAAAAACAGACAATTTTTGATAAAGTAAATGAGGATAAATTGCTTCAATTTGATGAACTTGACCTATATTCATGGAGGTAGTAGCTCCAAAGGCCAACAGAGAGGGAAGGAGTCTTCACATCAAATATTAATGCTATCCCCTCTGTACTCAGGGTAGATAGGGACATACAACTTAGACACTGGCTACCTAAAATGAGGGGGCGATAAAGGCACAAAGTGACTTACTTACAAGGTTTCAGGAGAGAGTTTAGTTTAAGAGTGTGTGGGGAAAGATAGACTCCCCACTGAATAGTTTTCATCTTTGTCTAGATGGGTCTGATTAAAAGAGATGGAAATAAGATTCTTATGATTCAATAGTGAGTAATTGTTATCATGACAATTTGCGACTGTCACAATTGTAAAATTAGAAGTTTTGTAACAAAACGGGGGAGTAGTTAATCTTACGGCCCAGAAACAAAGGACCCTAAGACCATCAAGGGAGAAGAGCACAAGTGGAATAGAGGCAGATATGGGGACATAGAGAGAGGGAACAGCTGAGAAGTCTAGATTCGTGGAAAGAGAGGGACTGAGAGTTGGCAGCCAGGAGGCAGACTTGCAGAATAAGCCCTTTGGTGGTTTAAACTATTGTACATGCCCAAGTGTTTTTTTTTTTTTTAAAGAGCTAAAATGAGTAGAGATAAATACTGTTAATGGATGGTACATGGAGGAAATTATAATCATTGTAATAAAACAAAGTATATGATTTGTGGAATGTAAAACTGATGATCTGCCATGTAAACAATTCACAATAAAAACTTATAAAACAAGAAATAAATAAACTGAAGTTTATACATATTGCCTGTTGTTGTTGTCATTGTTTCCCATCAAGTTGGTACCGACTCAGAGCAACCCTATGCTCAACAGAAGGAACCACCACCCAGTCCTGGGCCAACCTCACTACTGTTGTCACACTTGAGCGTATTGATGCTGCCATTTTGTCAATCTATCTCACTGGGGACCTTCCTCTTTTTCTCTGACCCTCCACCTTATCAAACATGATATCCTTCTCCAGAGACTGGTCCCTCCTGACAATATGTCTAAAGTGTGAGAAACAAAGTTTAGCCATCTTGGCCTCCAAGGAGCACTCTGGCTACACTTCTTCCAACATAGACCTATTTGTTCTTTTTGTAGCCCATGGTACTTTTCAATTCTCCTCCAACACCATAACTCAAATATATCAATTCTTCTACTGTCTTTCTTTTTCACTGTCCAGCCTTCACATCCATATGAGGTTATTGAAAATACCATGGCTTGGGTCAGGCACATCTTAGTCCTCAAGGTGATATCTTTGCTCTTCAACACTTTGAAAAGGTCTTGTGCAGTACATTTATCTAATGTGATACATTCTCTGATTTCTTGACTGCTGCTTCTATGAGTGTTGATGGTTGAGCCAAAAACAAAACAAAACAACAACAACAAAAAACAAAAAACAAAAACAAATCTTTGAGAGCTTCAATCTTTTCTCCGTTGATAAGAATTTTGTTTACTGGTCCAGTGGTGAGGATTTTTGTTTTCTTAACATTGAGATGAAATCCATACCAAAGGCTATGGTCTCTGATCTTCATCAGTAAATTTTTAAGTCCTCTTCACTTTTAACAAACAAAGTTGTATTATCTGCTATCATAAATTGTTAATAAGTCTTCCTCCAATCCTGATGCCACGTTTTTCTTCATATAAACCAGCTTCTCAGATTATTTGTTCAGCATATAGGTTGAATAAGTAAGGCTAAAGAATACAACCCTGTCACACACCTTTCTGATTATTTACACATTGTTATCATAATGAATATTTTCCCAACAATGCCATCGTAATTTTCAAATATTTTTATTCTTTTCTTCATACTCTTTAGTTAATTAAGGAAAAAAGAAAGCATTCTTTGGTGAAAAAAAAAAAAAAAGCAGAATAGAAAAGTTTAATTAAAAACAGCTACATTTTGGGAAAATATATAAAGTGTTAATTATCTCTAATATATTTAGTTTAAATTGTAAGGATAAAGATGTTTAGAACATGCAAATTAATTTCTTAATATGTGGTTTCTTAATCATACAAATGCAATTGGTTTTGCCATTTCTTTTTACATTTTGTAGGTATATTCCTTACTGAACTCTTAGATTACTAAATTGGCAACATACCTTAAAAATTTTAGTTATATTTTATGTAAACATAACATCTTCCAGAACACAATTAGAAAGTATCATGATGAGTTTTATTTTAAAGGAGCAATGTGGATTGTTTTGTTAAAGTAGACAAAATCATTTTAACCATTATTTGAAATTAGACGAGACTCCCTATTGGCAAACGAGGTAGACACATGTATGCTTGAGGAGTTTTGCTGAGATTGATAGGGTTCCCATCCAATCGAATGTCCTCTAATGCCTTGCGAATATAAGTCAAATTTTTAATATTGCAGAAGGTATCTTCATGCATTTCCAGTATGTTGTTGTTCTAAAAAAAAGTTGAAGATAAAGTATAAGATATGATATAATATATCTGTAATGGTGACTAATTATACAATCCATTTTGCTTAACACCCATGTTTATTATTTGTACCTTCTTGTATTCAAATATATATACATATATGTCGTTGTTGTTAAATGCCACCAGGAGAGTCTCTGTGTGTGTGTGTATATATATATATATATATATACACACAGAGAGACTTCTGGCTTCTGGTGTGGCACTGTGGGTTAATGTATTGGACTACAAGGTCAGTTTGAACTGCAAGTTCAGTGGTTCAAACTCACCAGCCGCTCCTCAGAAACCCTATACAGGGTCGCTATGAGTCAGAACCAACTCAATGGCACTTAACAACAAAAACAACACACACATATCTCTCTATCTCTCTCAATATATATATATAAAACATATATATGTAAAACATATATATAACACAAACTCAAATCTATAACCTAATCTTCCACCTTAACAAGCTAGAGAGTAAACTATATCCAAAGCAAACAAAAGAAAGGAAATAATAAAGATTAGGATTGTCCTGATACTTGCATTCTTAATCACTTCCTCATTTCACCTCCCTTCATTTCTGACATATTACCTGCCCCCACCTGCAGTTCCTTCAAATTATCTATCTATCTATCTATCTATCTATCTATCTATCTATCTATCTATCTATCTATCTAGATGTGTATGTGTGTAAGTGGTAAACCATTACACTACAAGGGAAAGAGTATTACAATTATTGTTTCAATTTAAAATCATCTAGTTTGGATAAATACTAACTTAATTTCAATAAAGTACAACATTTTTACTCTTGCATACTTCCTTTACTTTCTCCCAGCTTTGTACGATTGATGTTTTTACTTGCTATTGAGTAGGTTCCAATTCATAGTGACCCTGTAAAATATTTTTTAAGAGGCTGCTGGGTTTGAACCACCGACCTTGTGGTTAGCAGTCCAGTGTTTATCTTACAGTGTCATTTCAGGACTATTATTGCCACATAATCGTATAATTTTATTTTTCAGTCTGTCAATTCTGGTTTTTGATGATTTATTTATACAATTGTCTTCTACAACAGAACACAGCCAAGAACATCTGCAGTGGTGTCAGAGATTATAAAATTTGCAAAATAGGGGTATAGAATTCATCTACTGTATTCTATTCCCAGTTCTGGCTAAAAGTGGGAAGAGGAACTGGAATTCAAGTAAGATACAAGAAAGATATTAGTGAGATTGAAGAATAATATTGATTTATTGTCTATTTGCTTTCTCATTCCTTTTGATAGTAAATAGATGCATGCAGTTTAGAATAATTGAGTATCACATTTAAGTGATCATCGTGAATCAAGACCTGAACAACTCACTTAATAAACTTTATATTATTTAATCTTCTCAACCCTCCTAAGAAGTAGGCTATCCCTTTGTTACAGATGAAAAATCAAGATGCAGAGAGGTTTTGAAATGTGTCTAATCATTAAATCACTTGGAACAGTTAGTTAAGCCCAAGAAATCTGTTTCTACTAGCACTTTCATTCTTAATTGCTTATGTTATTTGTATACAGATCTTGAAAAACACTTTTCAAATGAATCAGGGAAGGGGTTTTTTTTTTTTTTTTTAGAAACTAATATGACCATTTAAAATATGCAAATTGATAGAAACATGTTTTCTTCATCTTCCCAGATAGCAGTAATGAAATTTAATTCAACATTGGAACACCTGTTGAAAAGTTTCTTTGAGAATTCTCTTGGAAAACCTCTCTCCAGTCATGCACGAGGTCCACATAAGCATGGAAAGCCACATATACATGGAAATTGGGCCTCCTGAACAGCATGACTGAGAGAGAACCCTCCAGAAACAAACAGAACGAGGACTAGGAAGTACAGAGACATTAAGGGAAATAAATGTATACATTAAAACTCACAGAAGAGACATCTATCCAAGACTCAGGAGTCCTGGTATGGTGCTGTAAGATAAACACTGGACCACAAGGTTAGTTTGAACAATGGTTTGTATTCTACCAGCTCCTTTGAAACCTCATATAGGCACCACCTCAACAACACTTAACAACAACAACTCCAATACTCACATATAAATATACATGATAAAATGGCAAAGGGGTTAGAAAAATAAGTATTAATAAGATGAATAAACAAGAAGAAGAGGCACACATAATGGGCTCCACCGAGGAAAACAGGAACCAGAGAACTGCTCTGATACAGCAGCATTACTTTTAATGGTTTTTATATGTTTTTGCTAAACAAATTTAATATTCACCTCTGACACTGTCTGTTTTGTTGTTTTCAGTGTATAATGGGTATCTTCTCTATAGATTTATACCACAGAACAGATGAAATCATTGCAAAAAGTTCATGATAGTTGTAGGCCAATAAATATGAAAGAATAGTAATTTATATTTATCACTTTTAACAATGAAAAAATATTTATTTCAATTGAACATAATTTTAAATCACTTTGATAGAACCACTTTGTTTAGACACTCATGTGTCATAAAGATATTTGACTATGTGTTTTTAATTATAACTTTGAAAATAAAATATAGTTTACTGAGAATTAAATAACCCAAAATTTCAGGCATGTTGCTTTAGAAAAAAATACATTTTCTTAGTCCAGATAGGAATGCCCTAGCATTTCAAACCTAAAATGACATCATCATATCTTTCTCTGAAAGCTAGAAATCAAAATAGACATTACTTTTTCCCTTTTTTCTTCCATTTCTATTCTTCACAAATGTCTTCAACAGATGGATTTTTGTGTTTTTTCAAAATCATTGTACTATTATTTGGCAAACAAAACAAAACAAAAAAAAAAAAAACACCCTGAAAATAAAGGTTGTAAGAAATTTATCCAGGTGAGTAGAGTCATTAGTATAAAGATAGCTTGTTCTTAAATTGAGATAGAGAATTGATCAGAGAAAAAAGAAAAAAAATGTCATGGTGTGTCAAAATGCTGTCACAAATGTCTGTGTCCTGGACTTCTTCCTGTTTGGTTTTGATTACCCTGGAGTATGTCTTACTGGCAATAGCTTACCTGGAGATGAAGCGCCCGTAGATTTTCTGGAAGAGGCAGAGGGATGTGGTCCAAGTTGTTATCAGTAAGGTAGAGATGATGGAGATCGTACATATCCTATAAATGTTCCAAACATAGAGACTTAATCAAATTTGGTGATGCCCCAGTTGTACTTTCCCTTGGTACATATGCAACTATCTGTAAAATAGTAAGTATCCAGTCTGGTCTTATTTTGTAAACCTGAGTCAGAGAAATGCTCTCCTCACTTACTAGACAATTCAAATGAGTTTTAGAATACCTGATAACTAACAAACATTTCTTCTTAAAGATGAAAATTGTTTCTTAGTCCCTAAGATAAACATTTATTTCTCCACCTGAACTTTTCAATTTAAGCAAGATAGCTATTTCCTGTGGAAGACAGTTTAGGATAGGATGTTGAGGACTTTCATGAGGAATTTCTGTAATTATCTTCCGTTTTATACGCATGACATGAGAACTGATAGAACTATCAGGGACTATTTTATCCTCGTTTTTGTTAGAATTTTCTAGGATAAAAACTGGATTGCTAAGTACAGGGTCTGTAGTTCAAATCCATCAGCCGCTCCTTGAAAAACCTTGCTATGAGTTGGGACCAACTCAAGGACACTTAAAAACAACAATAGAATTTGTAGAGGAAATTTATAGCCAGGTTTGTTAGTAATGTATTTAAAAGCAGATACTATAGCTCAATTTTCTCACATGAAGGCCTTGATGGATAAAGAGTCTTAAATTCTGAGCTGAGATAAGGAAAAGAATGTATAACTTGTGGCTTTCACATAAAACAGAACAACAACAACAACACTGTCATTGAGTCGATTCTGACTCATAGGGACTCTGTGTAGGGTTTCCCAGGCTTTAAATCTTGAAGAGAGCAGAAAGTCTCATCTGTCTCCTGCAGAGCAGTTGGTGGGTTTGAGGTACCAGTCCTATGGTTAGCAGCCCAATACTTACCCTATAAAGCTAACAGGACTCATTCTGGTCTCAACATATATCAGAAAAACAGTAAAAACAAGTCAGTGTTTCTGATGGTCATAACAGTGTACAAGCTTAGAGACCCTATCTGTGAATGAATGAATGAATGGACAAGGAAACACAGTGTGGCCTTTAAGCAATTCAGAAGACACCAGGGAGTCAGCAATGAAGCTCTTTTTCTTTGATCTGATCTTCACAAAAAACAAAACCCTGAGATACTATAGTGATTTGAGAGCATGGTTCTGGAATAACTCCTGGGGTTAAAATGTTGTCTTTATCATTGACTGATGTGAGGCACTAAGCAAGTGAGTTAATTTCTCTGTGTCTCAATTTTTTTCATATGCAAACCAGCGATAATAATAATGTCAATCATTAGGGGTGAGTGTAAGAATTAAAGAGTTTTAATTGTAAAGTGCTTCAGTTAATGTCCGGCACATTGAGAAAGTGTTGTATGTGGTTGCCAATATTATATGCTAGACTTTTCTAGTCATGATGCACACAAATATGAACAAGGTACAGTGTCTGGTGTCCATCTTCCAAACAAATCCAGAATTATGATAACATATGAGTCCTGATTTGGTGCTGTAGGATAAGTAAGTACTTGACTACAAGGTTGGTTTGAAGCACAAGGTCGGCAGTTCAAATTCACCAGCTGCTTCTTGGAAACTCTTTAAAGGGTTGCTGTGGGTCAGAACCCATTCTACAGCACTTAACAACAACAACAACATGCAGGCATACCTCCTTTTATTGTGCTTCACTTTATTGATCTTTGTAGACACTGTGTTTTACCAACAAGGTTTGTGGCAACGCTGTGTCCACCAAGTTCATCAGTGCCATTTTTCTAATAGCATGTGCTCATTTCATGTCTCTGTGACACATTTAGGTAATTCTCACAATATTTCAAACTTTTTCATAATGCTGTTGTATACTTAATAGATTATATTACAGGCATATTTAGGAGATATTGCTTGCTTGATTACAGCCTACTATAATCAAGCAAGTCACACACATTTTTTGGTTTCCTCATGCATGTAATGGACTCCCAGTACGGTGCTATGGGTTAATGTGCTGGATTGCAAAGTTGATTTTAACCCCAAGGTCAGTGGTTCAAGCTCACCAACCACTCCTCAGAAACCCCATACAGGATCCCTATGGGTCAGAACCTACTCAACGGTACTTCACAGCTAATACCCACTAGTTCACTCGACAGCACAACAATGCATATAAAAATTATGTTTACATTCTACTATAGTTTACTATTATTGTTAAGTACAATTGAGTCAATTCTGACTCATAATGACCCTGTATGAGGCTTCCAAGGAGCAGCTGGTGGGTTTGAACTGCTGAGCTTGTTGTTAGCAGTCCAGTGCTTATCCCAGAGTGCCACCCCAGGAGCCCCTGTAGTCTCCTAAGGTACAATGTTACTATCGTTGTTAGGTATGCAGAGTCAGTTCTGACTCATAGAGACCCTATACACAACAGAAGGGAGCACCGTTTGGTGCTATGCCATCCTCACAATTGATGGTATATTTCAGCCCATTGCTGCTACAATTGTGCCAGTCCATCTTGTTGGGGGTCATCCTCTTTCTCGCTGTCCTCCACTGTTCTGAGCATGATGTCCTTCTCTAGGGACTGGTCCCTCCTGATCATATGTCCACAATATGAGGGGTGAAGTCTCCCTATTATTGTTTCTAATGAGCATTCTGGCTCTACTACTTCCAAGACAGATTTGTTTGTTCTGAAAGCCTAAGATACTTTCAATATTCTTCACCAACATCATCATCTTAATGCATCAAAGTGTGCAATAGCATTATGAAAAAGTTAGAAATAGTGTGAGAATTGCTGAAATAGGATACAGAGACACAAAGTGAGCATATGTTGTTAGAAAATTGTAACCAACAGACTTTCTGGATGCAGCATTGCCCCTAACCTTCCATTCATAAAAATAGCCCGATATCTGTGAAGTGCAATAAAGTAACTTGCAATAAATTGAGATATGCCTGTATAGTGTAAACGTAAGTGTTATATGCACTGGGAAACCAAAATAATATTTGTGACTCAGCTTATTATATGATATTCACTTGATTGCAGTGGTGTGGAATTGAATCCACAATATCTCGGAGCTATGCATATAAAATGTCTTAATTTGTCATAAATGATAGCTTTGATGGTAATGGAAGGCAATGCAAGAATGAAAGCCGTGTGATGTGTGCTTGCTACCTTGATGTCATGTTCATTTCCACCCTAATCAGGGCTGCTATGAGTTGGAACCGACTCGATAGCATTTAACAACCACCACTACAAACTAACTTGTAAGGAAAGATCAATGATTAATATTAAGGATTTTGTTTCTCAGCTGTGGAATGATTTGGGCTCTAACCTATAATTTGCTGTATATCATTGCTATTCTTGAATTTTCTTTCTTTACCTTTCTACCCATGCCAGATTAGGATGGGTGACTTTCAGGGAAATAATGTGCAGTCCCTTCAAATAGTATTTTTAAACTATCTTTTCGATGTGTACTTACAGGAGTAGCTTGAATGGAATAAAAGTGAGTTAGAATGCCTGTTAGTAACTGTCCTCAAACCCTATTCTGTTGTTTCAGCCCAGTCAGTCTATGTCCAGACTTGCTTCTTCCACTTAGAAAATAAAATCCATAACATTAACAGTCCAGTTTCCTTATGAGTTACTTTGTTGTAGTGGGGATTTTTAAGTGCTGGTGACTCCATTCTGACTTATAGTGACCCGGATTAGGGTTCCAAACAGTGGTTAACAGTCAGCAGTTAGCAGTCCAGTGCTTATCCTACATGCCACACCAGGACAAGTTAGTTTAGGAGCCTTCTAATCCTCAAGACACTATCCACAACAAGCAAAAGTGACATATTCTTTTAACCACAGAAAGTACTTTTCATAAACAGAATTCTTAGTAAAAATGAATTCTCTGATTGAAACCATCTCCAAGTGCTTCTTACAGATGGGTGCTCCAGATAGCTACCACATCTTATTCCACTGATTTCTGTTCTTGGGATCTGACTGCCTTCAGAACTTACTGCAATGCAGTATTTCTTTAGAAGCATAATAAAAAGGGTCACATGATTTACATTAGAAGTTAAAAGTCGCTCCAATGTGAATTGCAGAAATAGAAGGCTGTTCACTGACATAAAATGGGAAGAGCTGAAAATCTTTCATATTCATCTTAAAAACTTACTTTAAATGCTTCTTGCTTTATCCCTTTTCTTCCAAGTCTATTGTTGCTAATATCAATAAATGTCAGAGTACTTGGCAATTCTGGGAGCTGTCTTATTTTGTTGTCACGCAGAACAAGCTCTTCAAGTTGAGGCAGCTTTCTGAAAGCATCTTCATCAATCTCAGATATTAAATTTGATGTAAGATCAATCCTTTTTAAGTCATCTACAAGGAAACAATGAAGGGAATAGTTAAATATGCTTGACTATTATTCGATCACATGAAAATAAATATCAAATAAAATTGCTCTTATAAAAGCAAGACTAAATATAAATTTAATGAATGTTGACAGTTAATGAAATAATCACATTAACTATTAAAAGACCATTGTTTCCTCCAGATAGTATTCATATTTATGCAATTATAAGACAGTATAACTCTAGCAAAGAAATTGACAAAAATAGCTGGAATTTCCCCACATTCTTCATACACTGAATTTGGACAATTTAAAACGTTTTTCTCAGTGATGATAGATTACTATATTTTTGAATATTCAGTTACATTGTTAGTAAATGCTGTCAAGTCCGTTTTGACACATAGCGACCCTGCATAGGGTTTCTGAGGCTGAAAATCTTTACGGGAGCAGAATACCTCATCTTTCTGACACAGACTGGCTGATAGTTTTGAACTGCTGACCTTGAGGTTAGCAGCCCTACTCGTAACTACTACATATTATTAAAAAAAAAAAAAAAAATCTTCAAATGAATAAAATGCACTACAAAGAATAAAAAATGTACCAAAATTATTTTGTTAAGGTGGCAAAAAGTGTAATTAGATTTTAGACTTGCATTAATAACTGTAAAACAATTAGACTTTCTTGAACAAATGGGAGTTTGCCAAACAAAGTCAAATTTTTTTAACTAAATCACTGATGTTTGTACTATATTCACTCTTATTGTCATAACATGATAATATGATTTAGCCACATAAAAAGATTCTACTTTGTTTTAAAAATAGCCAAATTGAAATGAATAATAATTGTATATGTTATTTCATAATAACAATATTTATTGTGTCTTATCATTATTAAAGTAAATTTCTAGATAAGGGAAAAAAAGATTCATGAACCATATTTTGGCATTTATGTTTCATTCATAATACCAATATTTTATTCTGTAGAAATTTGATCAAACGGTAAAGAAGGAAATGATATTAATATTGTCGTCCATACTTAGGCTTGCAAAGTCATTTTTGTTGATCTTTTTAATTCTGTTAAAGCGTGAATAGAAATAAGCAGTGTTCTTGGGCAATGGAGGAATAGCATCAAGGTCATGATCATCACAGTATACGGTGGTACTTATACAAGTACACAGAAGGCAGGTAGGAAAGTCTGAAAGATAAAGGCAAAGATTCTACGTAAGCAATAAAAACAATTTATAAGAAATACTGTGGTTGGATAATGTTTGGTAAATAAGACTCTAACACAAATCATGTGGTAGATTTCCTACTTTCTGTAAATAGCATACTTAAGGCAAATATATTAATTAAAGCTTCTTCAGCAGTTAACGTACTCTTTGTAATGTTTAAAATTTTTATTTTAAATTACTAAATGGTATGGAGTTCTGGTGTGGCTCTGTAAGATAAGCACTGGACTGCTTACCACAAGATCAGAGGTTCAAACTCAGTAGTTCACTCAGCAACACTTAACAACAACAGCAATATGGCTATAGTAAGTATTGTTGCTAATTTTCCACTTACTAGAAAATCTATTTTCAAGATGTAAATATTAAAATTGTGGGTTTTATGAAGTGATAATAATGCACATAATACAAAACACCCAAATGGAATTAAACAATAATGGAATTTTCTCATAAACTTTTGAATCCCCCTCATATTTTATTAGGTCTTTGGTTTCATTTTTGAATACTCCACATAAAGCAAATCTGATTCATGAAAATGTAGTACAAAACTAACTTTGTTGTTTATTGTTATTTATTTGTTAACTACATTTGAGTCAGTTCTGACTTATGGTGACCCTGTAAGTGTTTCTGAGGCTATAAATGTTTGTAGGAGCAGAAAACTTCATTTTTCTGCCTTGGAGCAACTGATGGGCTCAAACTGCAAACCTTGTGGTTTGAAGTCCAGTGCTTAATTCACTCAGTTTTAGTTTATAATCTGATGTTTGGAGATGCTATCCAGGGTCTCTATAAGTCAGACTCACTCAATGGTACTAAAGAACAAACAGCATATGTGAGTGGTGTTAAATAATTGCACACATAAATTAAATGATGAGTGTAATAACCATCAAGAGAAATAAAGAAACATAAAATAAAGGCATTTCACCCAGCCTGGAAGCCGTGGAAAGGTTTTTTGATGAGGTGATAATTGAGCTGAGATTTGCAGGAAGGGAAAGAGTTAATTACAAAAACGGAAGGGGTACAGTATGCAAGATTCTTAAAGGGAGAGCTATAAAATATTGACAACTCACTTCTATCTACAGTCATTATAAATTAACATTTCTCATTTGTGAAAAGAATTTCAAAGTGAAATATTTGATTCTTCTGTATATTCAGAGTTTTACTAATAACAGCAATAATTGCTTAGAGTAATGGTTGTTGTTGTTACATGCCATTCAGTTGGTTCTGACCCATAGTGACCCTGTACAGGGTTTCTGAGGAGTGGTTGATGAGCTTGAACCACACAGACCTTAGTTTTCATTAATTCAAGCTAGTTGTAATTTAATTCCAATTTGTCACATTCTGTATGACTTTGGAATTTGATTTTAAAGAATGATGTAATGAATTAAAATATTTTTTTGAATTTTAATAGACAAACTACCTAATTTTGATGAATTTGAGACTTAAATTACAATTGAAATTTCTATCAATTGTAATTTACACAAAATTTAAACAAAATTAAAAATTAAATTAAATTAAAAAAAAATTTACACAAAAATTAAAATGAGAATTGAAGTTTTAACTTCATTATTCACCTCAACATTATTTTGTTGTTGTTGCTAAGTGCTGTGGAGTCGCTTTTGTCTTATAGTCATTCTGACTTATAGGGTTTTCAAGGAGCAGCTGTTAGGTTTGAACTGCCGACCTTCTGGTTTGCAGTCTAGTGCTGATCCAACAGTGCCACACCATGCAATCATGCAAAAGTCTTAACTTTTTCTATGTCATTTCAAAACTTACATTTTAAGCCATGATTTGGACTACAACTTTAAAAATAGATTTCGTTTAAAAGACTGAGCATTAGGCTTTCTTGTTGTTCCTGTCTTTGTTGTTGTTAGGTGTCCTTCAGTCAGTCCTGACTCATAGTGACCCTATGCACAGCAGAATGAAACACTCCCCAGTCCTGCACCATCCTCACCATCTTTGTTACACTTGAGCCTGTTTTTGCTGCCACTGTGCCAATCCATCTCATTGAGGATCTTCATCGTTTTTGCAGACCCTCCATTTTGCAGACCCTCCTTATAATATGCCCAAATTATGTGAGATGAAGTCTAGCAATCTTGGCTTCTAAGGAGCATTCTGATTGCACTTTTCCAACGCAGATTTGTTTGTTCTTCTGGTGGTCTATGGTACTTTCTCCAACACCATAACTCAAATGCATCAATTATTTTATGGTCTTCCTTATTCACTAACTTTCACATGCATATGAGACTATTGAAAATACAATGGCTTGGGTCTGGCACACTTTTATCCTCAAACTGACATTTTGGATCTTCAACATTTTAAAGAGGTTTTGTGCAGCAGATTTGTCTAATACAATACATCATTTGATTTCTTGATTGCTGCTTCCAGGAGTATTGATATTTGTTGTTGTTAATGGATTCCTATGCATAACGATCATGTACTGGGCTTCCAAGGCTGTAAATCTTTACAGGAGCAGAAAATCTCACCTCTTTCGTGGAACAGCTGGTAGTTTTGAACTGCTGAACTTAGGGTTCGCAGCTTGATTCGTAACTGTAGATCCAAGCAAAATGAAGTATTTGACAATCTTGTTTCCATTTATCATGATGATATTTATTGGTCCAATACTAAGGATTTTTGTTTTCTTTACTCTGAGGTGCAATCCATACTGAAGGCTGTGGTCTTTGATACTCATCAGTAAGTATTTTAAATCCTTTTCACTCTCAGCAAGTAAAGTTGTATCATCTGCATACCAAAGGTTGTTAATTTATCTTCCCCCTATCCTGATGCCACATTCTTTTAATATAATCCAGCTTCTTGGGTTATTTCCTTAGCATAGAGATTCAATAAATATAATGAAACAATATAAGCCTAGGGCACACTTTTCCTTATTTTAAGCCATTCAGTGTCCCCACCCTTGTTCTGTTTGAATGACTGCCTCTTGGTCTATGTACAGATTCTTCATGAGAACAAATTAAGTGCTTCAGAACATCCATTCTCTGAAATATTGTCTGTAGTTTGTCATGATCCACATAGTCAGAAGTCTTTTTGTAGTCAATAAAGTACATGTAAACATCTTTCTGGTATTCTCTGCTTTCAGCCACAATCTATCTAATGTTAGCAATGATAGCCCCTTGTTCCACTTCCTTATCTGAATTCTGAGTCAAGCTTGAACCTATTGTCATTCATGTCAGTGTAATGTTGTAGCCATTTTTTAAATTATCTTTTGCAAAATATTCAATATTCTGCTGCTGACAGTGTTCCCTTACTATTCATAAGACTTTTGGTGACTAGACATTCAGAAGTAGTCTAGCTCTCCTTTCACCTAGTCTGTCTTAGTCTGGAAGTTCAGCTGAAACCTGTCCACCATGGGTGACCCTGATAGTATTTAAATACCAATGGAAAAGCTTTCAGAATCACAGCAACACGTAAGCTGCATAGCACAACAAACTGAAAGATGAGTGATGGTGTTCCTGGCTAAGTTAAGTAAAGATAAAATAAGAATGCTAATGTCCAATCAGTAAATTCTTGAAGAATCTAAACTTCTTAAAAGTAAACAATATTCTTGGATATTTAATTCCCTTATTTTGGAGATTTTCAGCTGTGTAATTCCTTGCTCACCATTGTTTATGTCTATCTTCTTGTGTTGGTGGAGTATTTAGTACAGAGATGGAAGTATGTGGAAACAATATGATGCATTACCATTGCCTCAGGATTTAGAGGTCTCCCTTTGTATCCCAGGGTCACTATCTACCACCTCCATGATCTTGGACAAATTTTATAGGATGTCGCAGAATCAGTTTATTTATACAATAGAGGGAACAGTACGTAATACATTGTGGTGTTGGTATTAGTCAGGGTTGTTAGTAGTGGGGTTTGTGGTGTGTGCTGTGGAGTCAGTTTCAACTCACAGAAATCAAGTACAGGGTTTCCAGAGCAACTTGTGGGTTTCAACTGTGGATCAGTCTGTGATTATCCTACAGCACCATGCAAGGAGTCTTCAAAGAGCTGTTGTTGCTGTTGTTAAGTGACATGGCATTAGTTCCGACTCACAGTGACCCTGTACAGTGTTTCAAGGAGTCCTAGTATGGTTCTACAGGATTAGCACCGGACAGCAAGGCCAGTTTGAACTGTAAGGACAGTTGTTCACGCTCACCAGCCGCTCATTGGAAACCATACAGGGTCACTATAGCACAGTGGTTATGAGTTGAGCTGCTAATCTTACTGCCAGCATTTCAAAACTACCATCGGTTCAGAGGAGAAAGATGAGGCTTTCTGTTCCCGTAAAGATTACAGCCTCGGAATGCCAAAACAGGGCTGCTCTGCGTTGGAACTGTCTCCACCGTACACAGTCACCGTGACCACCACCATGAATTGAAACTAACTGGATGGCACTTAACAACAACAAAATAGGGTTTCCAAGATTGTAAATCTGTACAGAAGCAGAAGGTCTCATCTTTCTCCCATGTAGTCGCTGGTGGATTTGAATCACTGACTTTTCAATTAACAGCCTAAGGAGTCACTGTTGTTGTTTTGTGCCGTGGCATCGGTTCTTACTAATTTTCAGGCTATAAATCTTTACGGGAGCAGAAAGCCTCATCTTTCTCCCGAGGAACAGCTAATAGTTTCGAACTGCTGACCTTGCAGTTCACAGCCCGATTCATAACCACTACGCTACCAGAGCTCCTTAATAATGATAATGGTGGTGATGATGGTTGTGTGCCACTGACATGGTTCCTACTCACAGTGACCCTGTGTAGGGTTTCCAAGGCTGTACTGTACATCTTTATGGGAGCAGAAAGCCTCATCTTTCTCCCATGAAACGTCAGGTAGATTCAAACTGCTAACCTTGTGTCTAGCAGCCCAGCACATAATCCACTCCACTACCAGTGCTCCTCAATAACTATGCTGTATTATGAACCAGTTACTAACTCATTCATTTAATCCTCACAACTTCATGATGTAGGTTTTATTTATTATCTCATTTTCTAAAAGAGGCATAAGAAATATTAAATGTTCTTGCTCAAGATTGGACAGGCAGCAAGTAATAGAACAGAGATTGGCATGGATGATTTTGTTGCTTCAACAGACTTAGTCTGGCTCCTGTGCCTTTGCGGTTAGTTCAGAAAACCAAACCCAAACCCAATGCAGCCAAGTTAATTCTGCTAAAGAGTAGAAGTGAACTCTATAGTGTTTTCAGAATTGTAATCTTTACGCTGGTAGGTGTGTTTGAACTGCCACCATTCAATTAAGGGTGCTCTTAGCTTCCCTCTGTGTTATCTTGCTTTTCCCAAGGCCAGTTTGTTCTGTACAGACTGTTCTCATGATACCTGTAATCCACTGTTGCCTCTAAATTGATTTTCAGGTCTGACACCCTGTACTAGACATAAAGGACCCGGAGAACAGTTGCCATATTAAAAACTGTTTTGTATCTCAAGAACTTGAAGTCTGGAGAAACTCAATACTAACAAGACCTTTGCAGTGGGAATCCTACTCATTTCCCACCTCCCCTCATTGTACCTTTCTCCCTGTGTGCACAAACACATTCTGGTGTGAAAACATTGACAAATTCTAGAAAGAAATGCAGAAACTCATAGAATCACATCTAACACTTGCAATTCCTTCTCTTTATCTAAATCTAAAATGATTTAGATCCAGGTTCAAGCCATTTAAAATGGAACCCAGAGTTACCGAATGCCTTCCACTCTTTATCACTCTCAGCTGCTTCCTGGGATGGAGTGAGAAGACTATTTTCTAATAAGTACACAGGTGAGAATTAGAGGGAGCTGACTATCACACTGTGATCTCTGGCACCTTTCTACCCCTCTTGGAGCTACAGTTTGCTTGGTGATAATGAAGAGTTTTATCAGCTCCTCCACAGGGAGATTGTAGTAGTCAGATGATATAATGTTGTCAATGCTGAATATTATAGTCCACAGATAATAAATGTGCAATCAATGTAAAATATCAATATCCCTATCATCAGCATCACTTTTATCAACTTCATCATTGTTTGAGCTGCTTTGGCCTCATCTCAGAGGCATAGACTCTGTATTTCGAGGAACACATTCCATAGAAAGGTTTTGAATAAGCATGCCAGACAAATGCTTTCATCACAAATCTTTAGTTTCTTTGATAATTTGAATAAAACCAAAGCTAAATTTAAAAAATTTGAATAATACTTTTTTTAAAAAAATCATTGTGCACCCCCTGCTTCAAACTTTATTTCTTCCAGCTTTTCTTTGCACCATGCCAGTTCCCTGTGAAGTTGGAGGTTGGCAGTTTTGAGAGATGGACAGGTGGACTTAATTACAATTCAACTTTGATGTGTCTGACCTTCGTTGGTGTGGGGGCCCAAAACACTTGTGAATTCCGGCTCCTGTGGGGAAGAGCCATCGATCAACCTGGGGGTGGATTCCTCCTCCTCTTCTTCACTCTCCTCCTCCGTAGGCAGTGGTGGCAGGGTCAAGAGCTCCCTGTTTCCTGAAGGCATCACTGTCCCTATTTCAATCTGAAAAAGAAGCAGAGTTTCAATAGGCAGTTTTTTCATCACCAGGTTAAGTGACATAAATTTAAGATGTGTCTGTAAATACCACAAGAGGGCGATCCTGTTCTAAGAGCAACATTTTCTATGGCGGGCGTGCCAGGGAAGGCACATATGGTTCTAGTTGTTTTAATTATTTCTGTCTTTTCAAACCTTAGCAATCTTTTCCAATGCCTTTGTTTTTGTTTTATTTTTGTGTTCTTGCTCTTTTTAATCTCCTTATGTCTTTTCATGTCACATATTTGAAAAAATGCATTTATTGTTGGCTGAATACATAACATTACAAGAATGCATTATTATTGTGAAAGATTTAATTTACTACAAAAGTGTGAAAAGTAACAACAAAGTTCCCTTCCACAGCCAGCCTTAATTATTATCCTTAAGTATTATAATAACTGATAAGGTACACATGTTTATTTTCCAGTCCTCTTAGCCCTAGGTTTCTTAAATTCAATTGTTTCATTTCTTTCCATTAGGTTATATGTCCTCCTGTGGCAATTTATTGCAAAGTGTCATTTTTACTAACCTACAATATATTTTAAAATAACAGCTATGTGTTTTGATTATCATATGCCATTCCCCATATATCTTCAATAATATTTGAATCACAAACATTACCCTTAATATATTTGGGTATCTTAAATTAACTGTTTTGACAACTTAGACAATAGGAAGCATTTATAAGACTGGAAAAGTACTCAGTGATTGTTTTCTTTTGTTAGAAATCATAATACAGATTATACTTGATTAGCTTTCTTTTTGTATACTCTAAGTAATGAGTTGTGGCTTCTAAGAATACTGTTTGAATTCAGAATAACCCCTGACTCTGAACTACCTTCCCATGTCTCAATGTCTGTTCCTTTACTTGTTGTTGTTCCTAAGTGCTATCAATTTGGTTTGACCCATAGTGAACCTGTATAGGGTTTCCAAGGAGTGACGGGTGGGTTTGAACTAGAGATCCGTGGTTCAACCTGACTTTGCAGTCTAGTGTATTGTCCTACAGCGCCATACCAGGACTCCCATTGCTTTGCATTGCTTTGCATTGCTTAGTAAATGGCTATCTTGAGACAGGAAGTCTGTCAGGATCAACTGAGGTGGCCATATCCAGAATTCACCCTTTAGGGCCGAAGGACCTATGTCATGCTTCAAGTCCCAGGTGCTCCCTTGTTGTTAACTGCCGTTGATTTGGTTCTGACTCATACTGACTCATAGGGTTTCTGAGGCTGTAAATCTTAACAGGATAAGAAAGTCTCATCTTTCTCCTGCAGAATGGCTGGTAGATTCCAACTGCTGACCTTGAGGTTGGCATCCGAATCTGTAACTCAGTACACTACCAGGGTTCCCTTAACCATATCTACATGGTTTCTTCCTCCTCTCCACCTTCTAATTTACTTTTATTTACAGAGCAAAAGATGCCTTTGTTGTTGTTGTTAAGTGCTGTCAAGTTTGTTGGACTCATAGCAACTCTCTATAGGGTTTCCCAGGAGCAGATGGTGAGTTTGAATTATTGACCTGGAGGTTAAAGCCGATTTTGTGGTCCAGTGCTTGTCCTACAGTGCCACAACAGGACACCAATACCTAAACTATTTTATGCTTATTTATTATCAAAAAGATGTGAAAATCATTTCTTTCATATATAAAATGAGCAGATCATTAAGGAAAATATTTTCTGGATGTCTTCGATAATCATATATAAGAGGTACATTCATTTTTAATGATGTCTTTGACAAATTTGAATAACTTGCTTCACAAGTGAAATCAATCTCCCTAAGAAACACTACAATTTCTTTCGTGAGTTTATTTTTCCCCATTGTGGCTTCTTCTGTGTTACCAGAGAACTTGCACCTCTCTGTATCAACTATTCATACACTGTATTCCTTAGTTTCAACCATTCCTTGCCTTTCCAGACCGATTTGATGTTAACTCTCTCTGAGCTATGTTTATTACAGTGTTTCCTAGAGTATTTGTTGAAGTAATTAAAAAAAAATAATTGCTCATCCAAAACATATCTAACTCACAACTTTGTGCTTCATATGATTATAGATATTTCCCGAGGAGGGTGTACAAGTGTATAAATGTTTATTTAAAGCCATGAAATAAAACTAAAATCAGGTCATAAGTATTTGGTATGCTTGGAAGCCATATCTGAAGATATTAGAAAGGTTAGCCCAAAATCTCTGGTGAGAATAGTGGGCCCACTTGTTAAAATAGAGAAACAAATGGTTCCCATATGTGGGGTCAGAATGAGGTAGATGAAGAAGGAATGGATTTACAGTGTAACCAAAAGGAGGCTTCAGGAAGAGTGGAAATTGAGACAGATGTTTCATGGAATGCAAAGAGCTTAAAGGAGTAACACATTCCAGACACGTTGCCTTGAATCTTTAGCTCTGGAGAAAAAAATGTTTGCACGTACTTTTGAAAATATCATTATTTTTCCATTGATCCGATGTGAAGCTGTAAGAAGTCACTTATCATCCAATATAATGTGGAAAAACAGCTTTCTAGATGGTGATCAAGTGTTCCCTTGCTAATATAACGTGGATGCAGGACAACTTTTAAAATCAAGAAAAAGAATTCCCTTACCACTCAGCAAAATTGCAAAACTGTATTATTGAATGATGCAAAAAGCATCAAAAGAAGATGGAAGGAATACACAGAGTTACTGTACCGAAAGGAAATGGTTGATGTTCAAC